TTCCTTTAAACTGACTTTTCCAAAGCCTCCTCATTTTGCCCTACAGGAGGTGGCGATTCAGCACATTGGACAGGCATTTAACCAGTTTCCTGCTGACATTACTGGAATTTTGTAGTTCTGCAATATCGAGGGACTGCAGACCTGCAACAAACTGTGGACTTTCTTGTTTTTGTTTTTGGATAAGATGGGTTTGAAAAAATTCACATTCATGCATATTATGTAAATTATTTTAAGACTTACGGGATTTTACTTATTAAATTGTATGGCTAGTTGCAGTGATTTGTACCTCTTTATTTCATTTAATTGTCAAGGTGATATACAGAGGAGTTACAGTTATATATGTAAGGTAGTGAATACATTTCTAGTCAAACACTGTTACACCCTCCCTCATTTTCTCCCACTTTCCCTTTCCCCATGCCCCTTCCTCAAGTTGTGCAGTTCATTTCCAATATGCTGTCCTGTGAGTATCACTGTTGCATTGGTTCTTCCTTTGTCCTTTATCTCACCATTTTGTTGTTCCCCTTCCCTTCCCTAATTCAGGTAAATGCATATATAATACACAAGGTACCAAAATAAAATACAGTGACAACAAGGGATAAACCATGAAAGGGAAAAAAGAAAAAAAATGCAAGAAAAAAATCAAGGGGGAAAAATCTTCACATTCTCTAGATAACAGAATGTACAAGTATAATATCTTGTCTGGGCTTATTAAATTGCAAATCAAACTAGAAAACTTACTTTAAAACAAAAAGTTACTATATCTTTGCAATTTTAAAACAAAGCCATGTTATTTAACTGATATATTAGAAAGCATGAGTTACCTTTTAGTGGAACTTTTTTTCCCAATAATTCATAGTTGTTGATAGGGTTATAATTCCAGAACAAGTATTACAACATCAGTTACAACATCAGTTGCTCACATTTTAGAGGATTGAAAGTGGCAAAATGATAGGATTTATGAACAGCAAATCTTGAAAAATGTAAGAAAATGAGTTTGTAATGTTTTAGAAATACCTTTATTCCTTTTATCAAAATCCAGGTTCTATGACATTGTAAATGTCATCAGAGGCCATAATTGTAGAAGCACAGCTTTGTTCTAGCAAATATTCTGTCATTCTTAAAGATATATTGTTTGAATTACTTTAAACAATGCCCGAAGAGTTCTTATTCCTGCTAATTATTTGAATCATACATTTAGAAAGATGAATTTCAAAATGTCACATATTTTTTTAATTCACAATTTCTCTTTTCTAAGATCATTATTAGTGGGCATGTCAAGTATGTAAAATACTTTTTTTCGTAGGTCCTTTTATCAGCATATTATTGTTTTGTTTACTTTGAAATTGGTCTTCAAACAACAGTTTATATTTTCTACATATTTTTATTCAGTATATTAGTCTCAGTGCAGTAATAGAAAACATAGAATGTTTTTGTATTTCTTCAGTCACTGCTTTCTTCTATGCTTATGTTAACTTGTCAACTCAAATTTAAATTTAAAAATGGAATATAAGAGTTGGGAGTGAGAGTGGACTTCTGTGGTAGAGCATTTGCCTATCATTTACAAAGATCTAGGTTCAGTCAGCATGAATAAATGAATGAGTGAATAAATAAATCTTCCTCCAGTTCATTGTAATTAAATTCATATGCAAACTATTCATTTTGGCTTAGGGAGAGAGCCAAGAAGGAGGGGAGTGTACAGTGTCCTCTTTTTCTCCTCTTCTTTGACCATGTGGCTGGTGGAGAGAGAGTTTGGTCTGGACCTGAGACATTTCTCCACACCTCTTCTGTTTCATGACCTTACTCCTCTAATCTTGGGAGACTTGGAGCGATGGGTGTGAGAGAGACGGGGGTGGGGGGGTGGGAGGGTGCAGAGAGAGACGGCACCTTTAACCTGGTTTTGTCACTGCTGATGTCCTTATGATGATACCTGTGGTTTTCCCAGCTCCCTTTGACCCTGAGGGGTAGCCATCTTTCCTTTGGCTTTGTCAGTGCATCATGCCCTTGACTAACTCCATTGGTTGGTGTTACTTGGTTGACCCTAGTAGTCCTTGGCTTCTGGCAACATTCTCTTTCCTTTCCTACAAGACGGCGGAGATGGGAGGAAAACATGCCTTCTTTCATAATTTTTTGTTTCTTTGGGTATACTCATACCTAAGACCCCTTCAACATACTCCCAGATGTCAGTATCTGCATATATTTCCATACCCCAAACAGAGAGGGGACTGCAGGCTCATTCTTAGCAAACCTTCTTCCAGTGAACAAAATGTCAGTGAGAGCCTTGTGTAGCTATTCCCACCCTCTTCTCCCCCTTCTACTAGATGAACTTCATTCCTCATACCGCTGGCAACCAGATGATTCCCTCCCTCTGACTCTGTTCCTCTTCCCACATGTTCTTGGTGTTGACTAGTTGTGCTGAGTCTTCTAGAGCATGAGGGAGGGGAATAAGGCCTATCCCTAAATATTGGCAGCTCTCTGGAATTCCTTTGTGATTGGCTATTGGTTTTGGTACCAGGACTAGACAATAGAAAAAATCTTAACAGGGTGAGTTTTCTCACAAGCAGAGACACAAGCAGATTAGAGGTTATTCTTACTCATGTAAAAGTGTATAAGCTTCATCTAGGGCTGGTAGTTTCCTTCCAGCTCTTCCCAGGCCATGTCTAGTTTTCCTCATGTCAAAATGTTAATATAATATCTCCATTCCAAGCAAACATTGACACAAATGGGTAAAAACAAGAAGCTCACACCCAAAATCTTTTTTTTTTAAGTTTCTAGGAAGCTACCACAGAATTCTTTCCTATACATTCTGTGAGTCATCTGGCTAGTCATAGCTTTGGGACCTTGGGAAATTTTCTATTCTAAGCATCCATATGCTGAACTAGTACCAGTGCTGTGATGTCTTTGGAGCTTGACACCTTCACATTTATCTTTCATGTAGGTATTACATATGTACACTAAGATTGACTGTCCACAGGACACAGTATAGTACTAGATTTGTGCAGGCTCATTGTGAATTGACTACAATTCTGAGAAAATTAAATCTTCCAGCAAAGGTATCTGAGCCACTGATGAAAACATTTTGAAGTTTATCTTTTTCACTAGAATTGTCTTGTTATATTTTTACCTGTTCTAGTTTTCATTTCTCTAGAAGAAAGAAGAGACCTGTAATTAGCCAGTTGATATAGAATTGTGTTCATTCTCACTCTGTATTTAGGAGAATGATATGGAATGCATAGTTCACATTTTGTTAAGTCTTAAAAGGTAAGCTAGTCACTGGTGGTTCATGTCTGTAATCCTAGCTACTTAGGAGGCTAACATCTGAGGATTGTAGTTCAAAGTCAAGCTGGGCAGGAAGGTCTGTAGAATTTTATCTCCAATTAACTACCAAAAAGCTGTATGTGGAGTGTGATTCAGGTATTAAAATGCAAGCCTTGAGCATAAAAGTTCAGGGACAGGGCCCAGGTTCTGAGTTCAAGCCCCAGCACTGGCAAACACACACGAAAAATGATCATACTTTATAATACTACCTTATAGACAAAATATTATAGACATATCTTGTCATAATATTTTGTCTATAAAGTTCATGAAAACTGAAGCTATTAAAGTATCACCATTTATTAGCTTTTTCTTAAACCTATTATGTAATGTTTGATTTTTTTTCTCTCATCATACCTTGCTGATGCCTAATAAAGAATTCTACATTCTTGAGTTCATATACCTTGTGCTCTAGTATTCTCAGGAGGTAGAATACAATGAATTAGGACTGTTGTCAAATCTTTTTCTCTAAGGTTAAACTAGAAAGAAATTTTTTATGACAAAATCTTTATTGTACTTCCCCCCCACTTCCTAGAGTTTTTATTGTACTTATGAAACAGGCCTTTTATATTGACTTGATTCAAACTCTAAACATTGTTTATGTATTCCCAGGAAGAAATTTCTTTACTTCTAGAGAAAATGATGTCCATTCTTAACTATCTTACTGGCTTTAAAAAGCCATTATGTTAAAACTCATAATGTAATTTCCAAATTCACATTATCTGTGATAAAATTGGTACATTCCATATTCTCTAATAAAAGTAGATAGAATAAAATCCCATAGAAGAAATTTTATAAATTTTAAATTTCTTCCTCACAAATTCAATTTTTTTTTACCTACGCCTTTACATTTAACAAATGGAACAGTTATAAATAAGAAAATAGTTTTCCTTTTCATAATGTGATTAGTAGGAATCTCATATTCTATTTTATAGGTACATTTGTCAAAACAGTGTTAACTTGTTAGTTTATAATTTCAAACTACTGAAAGAATTTTTTAGAAGTAGATAAACTGAAGACTGGGTATTTTCTTAGTGAGAAGATAGACTTATTCTCTGGCCCTGTTATGCCCCACTTGGATCAAGTGTCTGACATGTGGTTTTAATGATGGTCAATTGTAGTCCACTAAAAGAAAAATAATAACTTGGTAATCTTATTTTGGTCTGCATTTTGCAAATCATTTCAATTTAATTTAATTATAATGTCAAAATTTCAAACCAAACATAGTATAGTGACATAGTGGTGATTTTGTAGGGACCATAATGTAAAAACAGAAGAATATCACTACTAAATAAGTGGCAGCCACATTTACATAGTTAAAGATGAGTGTAAACTCAGGTTGGCAAAGTTCCATTAGGATCAAGTGAACTTTTATTTATGCTTGAGTCCTTTATGCATTATGCATTATGAAAAGCTAGAGCTTAAAAATCGATGTGACAGTTATCTGTGAACTTTCTCTACCTAGCTACAGTAAATAGCATTTCTTAACTCCCTCAAGACTTCAAAATAGAATTAATATATTTTCCATAGTTACTAGAGGGTTCCTACAAGATTTGAAATATTTAAATTGTGTCCTACAGAAAGCATTTGGAAATTTCTTAAAAATCTATTCCCTTTGCAAAAGGACCTTTTGCATCTGGGTCCCTCCAGATAATGGTGTTCAGCAGATTGCGTGTGTTCTGTTATAGGTTCACTACTGTGATAGACAAAGTGGCAAAGAATGTGTGACCTGTCTGACCCTAGCCCCTGTGCAGATGACTTTCCTTGCTATTGGAAGCTCCATTGAAGCCAGCCATGACCAGGTATAATATGCCACTGCCATTTTGCTGCATTAGGGCCCAGCTGAGAAACTGGGGGTCATCTACATGGAAGCTAATGTATATGCACACGCACACATGTACACACACACACATACTTTGCTTTCCTTTATACCTTATCCACAAACGCCATTTGCTAGAATTTTGAAAAATCAGAATTACTTGTTTTGGGAATCAGAAGTCTTAGGTGATTCAAATTCTTTTAGACATCTTGGTTTGCAGTTTATTACTAATTTAAGTAGAGAATTCTCTTATAAGGAAGAAATGTCCTAGTCTTATCTTCATAATTATACCTGAGAGGCATTGTCAGTAGAACAATGGAGATCACATTGAATCTTGTGGTTCTGCTGAAAAGTGTTGTTTTATATATAAAATAACCATGTGAACCTTCAGAACCATCACTTTGTTCCATAGTTTGAGATATTATTAAAACCAATTTCCAGTATCGAATTTTTTTTTGTCACTTGTGGGGCCTTAACTCAGGGCCTAGTCTTTGTCCTTCAGCTCTTCAGCTCAAAGCTAGCGCTCTACCACTTGAGCCACAGTACCATTTTCAGCTGTTTCTGCTTATGTGGTGCTGAGTAATTGAACCCAGGGCCTCATGGATTCAAGGCAAGCACTCTACCACTGAGCCACCTTCTCAGCCCCAATATTGACATTTTTTATTTTAAATTTTAGTTTCAAAAAAAGCTGAAAACATGAAACTATATTGTTTCTTAACACATTCCTTTGATTGTTTGGATAGCTGTTTGGGATATATCCTGTTTATAAGATAAGACATATTTTTAATTAAAGTTCTCAACACATTAGATTAAACTAATGATGTAGGTCATAGAATTTCTAGTTTGCAGCCAGAGTAAATAGACATATACAGTTTACTCTGACTAACCAGCTATGCTTTCTAAAATAACCATATTCAGAACAGGCATAACTCATTTCACATCCATTTCTCAATAATTCAAATACTTCTAATAGTCTTCAGACATTCTTTTCTCTTTCAAGTACTACCTCTTGCATGGAGAGAATAAAAGAATATAATAGTGCATATTTTCAGGACTAGATGCAGTGGCTCATGCCTCTGATTCCAGCCACTTAGGAGGCAGAGAGCAAGCAAGATCCCCATTTCAACAAACAGGCTAGGCATGGTGGTGCCTACTTGAAATCCCAGGTACTGCATCATGCTTAACTGGGGTTACAAATCAAAGACTGGCCCCTAGCAAAAATGCAAGATCCTATTTGCAAAAAACTAAAGCAAAGGGGCTGGGAAGGTGGCTCAGTGGTAGAGCGCTTGCCTTGCATGCCTGAGGCCCTGGGTTCAACTCCTCAGCACCACATAAGCAAAAAGAAAAAAGCCAGAAGTGGCGCTGTGGCTCAAGTGGTAGAGCGCTAGCCTTGAGCTGAAGAGCTGAGGGACAACGCCCAGGTCCAGAGTTCAGGCCCCACCACCACTGGACCCCCCCCCAAAAAAAAACTAAAGCAAAAAGGTCTGGGAGTATGACTCAAGTGCCTAGCAAGCTCTAGGCACTGAGTTCAAATCCTAGTACTACAAAAGATGAATCTTTTCAAACCCGTAATTTATCATTGCCCAACTCAAACAAGAATTGGATGAACTTTTTTTCTTTTTTTTTATTGTAAAGGTGGTGTACAAGAGAGGTTACATACAGTTACATAAGTCAGGTAATGAGTATATTTCTTTTTGAAAGTGTCTCCCCCTAGGTGAACATTTTTTAAGGGTATGTCCTTGCAGCCCATATGTCTCTGACATTGTGACTTTGTAATGATCATTTGTTGATTGGTGGAGAGATTTTGTAGTGCTCATGAAAAAGCAACTAATTGGTTTTCAGGGGGAAAAAAATCTGAGTTTTAGGAACCAATCATGGTGTCAGGTAGCCACAGTTACCTGGGTAGATTCTGCCATTTCACTCTGACTCAGTTTCCTGGAATGTTAAGTGAAGAACTTGGAAGAAGCTTGTAAGTCCATGCTAGTACTGTCATTTTATAATTCTGCGGCTGAACTTTTTGTTCTGGTCAAATGATTCTAAAATAAGCAGAAATAGCATGTTGATCTAGAAAATGGCTAGAGATTACGCTAGTGTTTCTCAGGATTTTATTACACTAATGTGTGCCCTAGCCTCAGAAGGCAGTACTATAGATATGAGACATAACTTAAAGCAGCTAATAAATAGTCATATGATTCCTGAATGAAACTATAACAGCCACATACTGTGTGCTGAGGATGCAGAGTGACAGTATGAGCTGTGTGCTTCCTGCTCTCATGGAAACTTACAGGCTAGCAAATGCGTGTGTAGAGTTAGAGCTAACACTCTTAACACCATCCCCTCAGTCCACTCTTGGCAGACGCAAACAGCCAGACCAATATGGAATCCCATCCTGGAAAGGTCTCTTCTGAAGAACAGAGTATGTCAGTAACCACACATGTGAAAAAGGCATCCTCTTAGCAGAGGTAGCCTAGTGCAGGAAAACAGCACTGGAAGGGAGATAGGATCACACTCAACTGTGCCGTGAGCTAGCTGTGGAACCTCATCTCTTCATCTCTTTGGGAACTCAGTGCCTTCATCTATGACCTGGTAAAGAGGGTTTACATTTGTGCCAAATCTATGTGCCAAGGGACTCAAAGTCCAGAGCTACCCTTAGCTCATGTGGTATTTTCACAAGTTAGGAAAAAACACTTTTCCTCCAGGCACTGCACTGTCCTTGGTGGAGATGTTTTGTAACAGACAAGTTTGTTAATAGCTGCAGGAGAATGGTATTTCCAAAAGGACTTCTGCTACATCAATCTGGAATTTGGCTTTTTATGTTGTGCTAATGAAATAGATATTTTCACATTAAAGCAAATACAGCTAAACTAGATTGTAGAAAACAAAGTTGAGATAAAAACAAAAGTTTCAAGAGTTGTGTTGATATTGGTCAGGTTCTGGCTCTGCAACTCAAGTCAGAGTGCTGTGCACCAAACGCTACTTTGGGGGGATTCAGAAGCACACTAAGGAGTGTGGGCTCCTCTTTTTATTCTTGGGTAATTCAGTTCCCCAAAGAAGGTGGACATGGAGTGAACATCCCCATGTCATGCGCTTTTCTCCATGGTGCATCAATATCTGTTCTGCATCCTGATGCAGACAGATGCTCACTCCTCCACTACACCAACAGGGTAAACGTGATCTCGTCGGGTGGAGAAGATGGACCACTAGCTGCTTTTTCTGCAACTAGTTTGTATCTACTAATACACAAGAAAATCCTTTAAAGAAAGGAAAGTTATGATAATTAAAAGGACCAGTTCTTAATTCATTTGAGCCAGTGCAATTGAGCCAATAAATTTGGAAAAAAAATACATAAAATCTATAGGTAGTCTTCTCATTAAGCTCAGATGGTTTTTACCTATCCAGAAATTGAAGCAGAGAAGTGTAAGAGTGCTCCTGCCTTGGACCTTTTAAGTTTATCTTCTGTCTGTAAGTGTAACTCTAGGAATCAGTGATGCAGAGACTGAATGCGTTCTCTCAGGCGCATTCACAGATGGTATTAAAGAGTTAACGGAAAATTCTCTGACAAAGTAAAATACAGGGGTGGGGTGCAAAATGGGCACAGGGGAACATGTATATACTGAATGTGTCCAGACTTAGGGAGTTCTTAAGTTTTCACCTCTCCCAATCAAACCTGCTCCTCCATCCTCCCAGTCATTTCCCTACTTGCCCTGGTAAATGTTCCACGTTACTCCTATTGCTCATGTCCTCTTGGTCTCCTCTCTCCCCAGTGTGCTACTCCCAGTCCCGACAGCAATTCCTTGAACAACCTCTCTGGTCTGACCATATTTTACCACTACCAGTATTTCTGTTCTACTTAAAGCCACCATCATTTATTTTTTATTTTTATTGATCAGGGTTTGAGCTCAGGGCCTGGGCACTGTCCTTGAGCTCTTTGTGCTCAAGGCTGCCACTTTGAGCCATGGTGTCACCATCATTTTTAGCCTTGGTGAATACATTAGCCTCTAAACTAGTTTTCATTTTTCTACTTCCATTCTACCGTGGTCTGCATTTCATAAAATAGCTAAAATTATATTTTTAGTTAATCAGACCATATCACTCAATTGCTGAAAGCCTTTTAGTGACTTCCTATCATGCACACTGTAAAATGCAACATGCCTGGTATTGCACCCAAGCCACTTTCACTTCTCCAAGCTCAGCTCTTGTCTCTCTCTTGTTCGCTGATTGTGCCTCCATCCCTTGGGCCTTGTGGCCAGTTACATCATGGTAATGAAAGAAACTAGCCAAAAGGCTTCATATCATAGATTCCATTCATGTGACACTCTGGCAAAGGCAAAACTGTAGGGATTTGAAATTGATTGGTGGTTCCCAGGAGCTAGGAGTATGGAGGGGGACTGATGAGAGCGTAATGAGAGAACCTGGGGCAGAAAGGTGATAGAAATGCTTTATTTTGATAGGAGTGGTAGATATACAACTGTTTGCATTAGCCACATTCACTCTAAAATTGATAAAGGTTACTGTATATAAATAATATCCAACTAATCCTATTATTAGTATTTTTTTTGCCAGTCCTGGGGCTTGAACTCAGAACCTGGGTACTGTCTCTGAGCTTTTGCTCAAGGCTACCACTTGAGCCACAGTGCCACTTCCAGCTTTTTCTGTTTATGTGGTACTATGGAATTAAACCCAGGACTTCATGCATGCTAGGCAAGCACTCTCCCACTAAGCTATATTCTCAGCTCTAAACCTATTTTTAAAGGAGAAAAAACAGATTGGTTGCTTTATTGGTTGCTCCCACAGTATTGACTGAGTTACATGTGGAAAGGTACAGTCTCTTTGCTTCTCCAAATGCTGGGTATGTTGGGTCTAGTTTGGAATGCACTGGATTTAATCAGCACCTGGTTTAGAGTTCCCTCAAAAGCCAGCAACTAGTTAGAGCTGCTCCAGACTTCCTGGAATTATTGTTAGTTTTCAAAAAGTGGTCTAGGC